CCAGTCTAGCCTGAGCGGTGGGTGTTGCCTTCTGACACACTTCCAGTGATGTGGCATATGCAAATAAGTTATGCTAATGAGTTATGCTAATGAGCTCCTGCACTTCTTTTTCTAGGAAATGACACCTGGACAAGACTGACCTTGATAAGGCCTCAGGTCTGTTTGGGTAGGAGGCAGCTTCATGTGAGTAAACGTCTGGACAAAATAATAATAATAATTTGGAAGTTAAAAGAAAGCACCCAAAAGCTGATGAACGACGCCTGTCAAAGTGCTACCACCACTGAAAATACAAAGTATCGTCTTTATTATAGCCATGGTTAGCCTTCTCATAATTGGGCCAGCTGGTTTATGGGCAACCTGCACTTTTTAAAAATTAAATTTACATCCCTCTTTTTTATTTATTTTTTTCATTTATACCCCGCCCTCCACCCAATGGGTACCCAGTCTTTTTTTTTCTCCTCCATTTTCTCCTCATAGCAATCCCGTGAGGTAGGTGAGGCTGAGTGTATGTGACTGGCCCAAGGTCACCCTGCGAGCATCATAAGAACATAAGAGAAGCCAATGTTGGATCAGGCCAATGGCCCGTCTACTCCAACACTCTGTCACACAGTGGCCAAAAATACCAGGTGCCATCAGGAGGTCCACCAGTGAGGCCAGGACACTAGGAGCCCTCCCACTGTTGGCCCCCCACCAAGCACCAAGAATACAGTTCGTCCCTTGCCCCAGACTGAGATTTCCTGTCTATACCTTGTGGCTAATAGCCACTGATGGACCTCTGCTCCATATGTTTATCCAACTCCCGCTTGAAGCCGTTCCATGCTTGTAGCTGCCACCACCTCCTGTGGCAGTGAATTCCATGTGTTCATCACTCTTTGGGTGAAGAAGGACTTCCTTTTATCTGTTCTAACCCGACCGCTCAGCAATTTCATGGAGTGCCCACGAGTTCTTGTATTGTGAGAAAGGGAGAAACAGGGGTCATTTTGTAGAAAAAGAGGTGCAGAGGCTCATTAGTATAGCTCATTAGCATAACTCATTCGCGTATGCCGCACCCCCTGACATCACCGGAAGTGTGTCAGAAGGCAACACCCACCGCTCAGGCTCCACTGGACTGTTTTGGATTGCTAGCTATTG